GTGAAAAAATAGAGATTTTAGGGCTGAGTCGATTTTTGAGGAGAATTGGTAATGGAAAAGTAGAGACTCGAGGGGTGAATCGATTTTTAACGAAACTTTATAGTACAAAAATAGGATCTTCAAGGATGATTTAATTTTTAACGAAAGTTATTAGTGTAAAAATAAAAATTCCAGAAAAGAGACGATTTTTACCTAAAATTCGTAGTATAAAAATAGGGACACCCAGAAATAAAATAAATAAAATCAAAATTCCAGAGACCATTCGATTTCTAACGAAAATTCATGGTATAAAAGTAGAGACTCCAAGAATACTTTAATTTTTAACGATAATTAGTGTAAAAATAAAATTTCCAGAGAATAGTCGCTTTCTAACGAAGCTTCACAGTATAAAAATAGGGACTCCACGGCAAATGTAATTATTAATAAAAATTATGAGTGTAAAAACAGAGATTCAATTTTTAGCGAAAATTCGTAGTACAAAAATAAGAACTCCACGGTCGATTTACTTTTTAATACAAAGTACTGCCGCAAGGATAAAGATTCGAGAGTTAAGTCGACTCTCTAACGGGAATCCATACCGTAAAAACGGGGATTCGTAGGAACGATGAAATTTTTAACGAGAATTCCTAATGTAGAAGATTCGAGGGATGATTGACGGTATAAAAAGAAGATTATCTTCGATGGAAACTCCTAGGTGTGTTCATTTGAATCTGCACAACGATACAGTCACAATTCCTCCGGTCCACCAAAACTGAAAGTCGAGGCTCGACGTTAATCCGGTATATAGCACAGGTAGTTTTAATGGATCATTAGTCAGCAGCACTCTAACGAAAATGATTTCCCTCACGGAACGGTATCACAGCAGCTTGATTATGGATCGGAGCACCCGCTAATGCGAGTGATATCGACATCGTGTAAACACGAGATACTAGTCTATTAGAAGGATGAATTATTACTTGCGAGTACGTACTATACGTCTTAACGGGAACGCAAATTCCTCTGTTGACACAGTATCTCGTGCTTCACGAGTTTTTCCTACAATCACACGTTAACAGTGAGACACCTGTACATCCTATCGATCAGCATTCAAATCTTCATCGTACACTTTGCACAAAAAATTAAAAAAGAAACAATAATTTACACACTTTTTACAGAAAATTAAAAAAGGAACAGTAATTTACACACTTTTCACAGAAAATAGGAAGAACATTAATCTACACACTTTTCACAAAAAAAGGCAAGCTTCCGTAAAAAAAGGTTTAAAGTGAATGAAACGAACGTGTACGAGCTTTGAAAAAAAAAAAACAGTTAGGAGATAAGAAAAGGGTGACCAGAGAGGACGTTAAAATCAGAGCAAAAAATTGGAACGCATTACGATCCTCGACAACCCTTGGAGACGTCGAAAAAGGGGAGAGCCACTCCCTCGAGACGGTTCGTCGTTTTTAACCCGGGCCATAAAATCGAGGAGCTTGTGGACCAAGACATAAACCTCGTCATTGAGAAACAGTCGTTGAGAACGGTGCATAATTTTTAACCCTTTGACAGTCTAATAAGATTACGAATTACGGCGAAAAAAATGGAGAAACAGTCCTTCGACAGCCTAACGAGATTACGAATTAAGGTGAAAAAAATGTAGATTTTAGGCGTATATTTTTAACAGTCACGGTGTGTGATCATTTTTAAGACACTAACCCAGCCATACTCAACTTGCCCGCCAAGATTTTGTGTGCGGCCCGAAACAGACACAGTTCGAGTTCGTAAGTAAAAGATCATTTAATTTACATAATACCAAGGTATACACTGTACTAAGTTACGGCCCTCGTTACGTAGCAAACATATGTGGCCCGTGAAGAAAAAGGGTTGAGTATGGCTGCACTAACCCTAGGTCATAGTTGTGACAATAACATCTCGCCCCTTTCTAACTTTCTTCCTAAAAGTCTCTCTTGAGTTGAACAGCCAGACATTCGACGCTCTGGCCGAGTCTCGCTCGAGATAAACTGTCGAGGGGTAAATTCGTCTACGAAAAATCTATACGAAGTAAAAGCACCCTTTTGAAACCGCGTTCAATTCGATCGACGACTTCGACGTACAAAGAAGTATAATAAAAAAAGGCCACGTGAGCAGTGAAACACGGCAAACGTTCGAACGCTGAGCGTGCACACGAGCGCGTTGATAAATAATTTATAACTTAGCCAGAGTGTGTTTGCGACGTAATTAGCTGTATCGGTCGAATAGAAGGTAAGGAGTGGCAGGATAGAAGAAACGTAGAAGGAGCCAAGAGCGTGGAAAATTCAAGTTTCTCTTGCTTTTTTTTCCCTTCTTCTCTTTTTTAATCGCGCATTTACACGTGCAATCGCGTGGTACTCGCTGTCATTCAGACGTGCCACATGAAAATCTCCGTAACGTTATTTCTTTTTTTAAATCTCCTTAACATTGTTTCTTCCGAATTTCCTTTTTTTTTTTTTTCAAATTAATTCAACTTTGCGTGTAGGTATATAGAGTATACCGCTTTTGGCACGTGTGTCGCTCTTTAATTATCGTCAGAGTGGAAGAGAGTTTCGATTAGGGTGGTTATGGTGGAGGAATGCAAGGACAGTGAAATTTTCGAGATTTTTCGATTTTCCAGTATCTTCATTTTTTCGTAGCGTACGCACTCTGACCGGTGTCGAGCTTTCGTCCGTGTTCGTCGTAACAGGTGGACGATGGTCCTCGGGGGGGGGTTAAAAGTGAATTTATGCTGTTTGATTTTGTTTGGTTGAGTTAAATGGTAAAGTGGCGAAGTGCATTTCACTCGACGCGATTTTCAAACATTGTCCACCTGCTACGCTGCACTCTGCGCGGAGCAACGTGGAGCGATTTTTCTTTTTAGTTCGGTTTAAGGCACTGGTGTGTGGTGACGTTAGTGTTAACTCGTCACGATTTTTCTTTTATTTTTACATCATTCATTTGGAAGTATTAATGTGTGACTTCGTTACGGTTTTTTTTTTTTTCAATTTGAATTCATCTGGAAGCGCTTCGGTGTGATTTCGTTAATATTAACTCGTCACGATTTTTCTTTAATTTCTGATTCGTTTCGAAGCCCTAATGCGTGATTTTTCTTTTCTTTCATTTTTAATTCATTTCTAAGCGTTACTATTAACTTTCTCAGAAAATCACCTACCACAATCTAAAGTCCTTTCCTTTTTTCTAATCTCCTACCATAGTTAATATTAACTCTTCCAAAAAAATCTCTCAGCACAATCTAAAATCCTCTCCTTTATCTAATCTCCTATCCTCCTTACAATTAACCCCTCCTAAAAAAAATCGCTCACCGCAGACGAAAGATCTCCTCAAGAAAAATTCTACAGTCTCGAAATACACCAATCTAAATAACGATCTACCGAAGGAATCTATTAACACGTTCCGTGCCGCGTGGGTCGCATACGCCCCACTCTGGACTTTCCGTTCAGGCCATTTGATATTTCGGCCTTTTCCTTCCGCTGACTTAAACTGTGCAACTACAGCGATAATTTGTTGAAACAAACATTTTTCCTTTGCTCTATAGCGTATCTTGAACGTTACCTTTTTCACGATAACAATGATTTTTGCAATCTTGTAAATATTGGAAGACACATAGGGTGAAAAGCAAAACTGTTAGTCTCGACAACGTGGGGCGCATACGACCCGCGCGGCGTCAACGGAAAGTCACCGAAAATCGGTCCGGCACGGAGCGTGTTAAAGAGAAATGGAAGAAAACAAAAGAAAAGAAAAATACTAGAGTAGATAATTAATTAGGAACAGTAGGAACGGATTTCATTTTTTGAGCAAGTCCTTAACGCCTAAGATAAGAGGGAGAGAGAGAGAGAGAGAGAGAGAGGAGTAGTGGGGAGGAATTTGGACCACGACATCCGGGCCACGCAGCCGGACGTTCAGGTTCCTTTTCTTTCAATAGTTAATTAACGCTAATAAATAGCACTGCACCGGAACGGATGCACGGACTATCGAGAGATTACGTGTACTCATTTATGCAAGTACATACGCCTTCGCCGTACGCGCGTGTTGCGCTTATTTATTATAGAAACACGGCGCTACAAGATATCCCGGAAGTGGAAGGCGGGTTTCTCGCGCGATCCATTTAACAACAATATTCGCCTTCGCATTCGCGGCTACACCTTCCGAGATACCTTTCACGCGTTCCCCATCGACGACGATGGATTTACAAGAGGTGCATGATAGATAAAAGGTGACGTGAATTATAGACACTTACAATGAGAAAAAAAAACGAAGTGGGAGAAACTATATATATATGTATACTCCACGATCATGTGTATATGGCAGTTCGCGTATATCTTTTTTTCCTCGATTTTTTGGCGGTAACAGATATAATCGTAGCAAAAATAAGAATTTGCTCGTCGATAAGTAACCATTATTTTCTGTCCGTTCTCGACCTGTTCGTCGCGCATCGACGATCGTCAAAGGATCAAAAGAGAGTGTGTCCGCGCGTGAATCACTCGAGTACGTGCGATACGTGTTCTTCGTGAAAAATCTCTGTGTAACGCACGCGCTACGAAGGCACGTAACACGACGAACGAATACATATATCTATCCTTCGTCATCGAACGATCTAAATAAAAAAAAGGAAGTCACAGGATTGCGTCTCGAGAGACTCGGAAAGGCACGTCGGTGATTAAAAGAGCGTAAAACGACGATGAACTCGCGTCACGAAAATGCGACTCCGCCGTGCGGAATACGGGAAGAGGCGCGCGACTTTGCATTCCATGGGAACAACGAGATTTCTACCAACTCTTGTTCCCATGGAACTTGGTTAAATAAAATCCTCGATCCTTCTTTTTTTATCTAATTCCCTCCAGAGAGGAGAGATCGAGAGTTCGTTTTTCTGGACGGTATCCTTTCCCTTCTTCGATCCGTAAATTCGCCTATTGCCGCCGTCGCTGTCTAAACGATCTCTGATAGGACTCTTTTTGTCTGTGAACGACGACGACGACGGCTGCGTCCTCGCGACGGATCACGGTGTCTGTCCTCTGTTTGCTGTCGCCGCTAGATTACGTTTCTTTTTTCTCTTTCTTTCTATCGCCGTGTTTATAAATTACTTTTCGTTCGCGTTAGTATGTACAGTAAAGGCACACACACACACACAGGAAGCGGCTGACAATGAATTAAGGCCACATCAATCAGTCTACGCCGTTTGGTCATTGGTTATACAGTGTCGATCAGGATTTGGACGGATCGTCGTTGTTCTTCTCGCTCTTCTTCTTCGTCTCCCACACGTTGATCCTCTTCAACGGATAACAGATCACGGCTGAGAGGAAGATCAAGCTGCCGGATAGATAGAACGAGGCGTCGTAACTTCCGGTTGCGTCCATGAAAGCACCTGAGAAAGAAAATTAGACGATACTCAGACGATTCTTCTTCGAGAGATAATGTTTCAAGTACGGAGGATTTTTTTTTTTGTTTTTCTCCGCGATATTTTCGCACCGACAGGATCGAGAATGTTTCTAAGAGGCGATTAGATAACCCCCAAGTGTCCACTTATCTAACAATTTCGACAGCTTGCAGTACTTCACCAGGGAGATCCTATCTTTTCGTAATAAATCAACAGCGTTGCCTGGTTAATCGTACTGTTATGCATCGTTCGCCTCATCTATTATACAAATATGCTTAAAATCTAATTGCGAATCGACAGCTGGGCGTTTATCTCGCTGAACGAGGCTCAAGGTTCTCCGTCTTTCTCTCGATAAGGAGGGAGAGAACGAATTGATAGGTATCTTTAGTTGCACAATCGAGCATTCCTCGATATTTCGCGAAAGTATCTCACGAAATCTACTCGCGTTCGATCGTATCGGGGTTTCGGATCGATGGTAGTTAAATCGCATCGTTGAAGCAGCGTTGGCGAGGAATGACGTTACGGATTGAAATACAGGATGATTTCGTTGGGGGATTCGAGGATGTTGTTGGTGTCAGGACGGATCGTTGTGTGACATCGGTAACGGTGGAGGAATTGGTATTTTTCTAATCACCTGCTAGAGGCGCGCCTATGGCAGCTGCCACGCCTTGGAAGAGAAGAAGCAGACCGAAAGCGTTGGTCAGTCTCTCTAGTCCTAGCAGGTCTACCACGAGGATCGATCTCAGAGACGCGAAAACAGCTGAAACAGATTGGATGAGAAATTGACTTGTAAGTGTGAAGCTTGCAAGATGACAAGAACTTGAGAGAAATCTTAGTGTTTAAGTTAGAAGTAATTCGATTAAAAAAAAAATAGAAAGAATTTTTGAAAAATCTGGATTCTTAAGTCGGTGATAAAAGAAATTAGGTGAAAAGTGTTTTACAGTTGACCTAATAAATTGAATGCATGTAAAATGATTCAACTCGATCGAGATTTCGTGAATGTGAAGCTTGCAAGACGACAAGAACTTGAGAGAAATTTTAGTACTTAGGTTAAAAGCAATTAATTTGTGAAAAAATGGAAGGAATTTTTAAAAACTTTGGACTCTCAGGTCGATGGTAAAAGAAATTAGTTAAAAAGTATTTTCTAGTTGATCTAACAGACTGAACGTAGATTTCGAAGATCTTGCCATCTCTCTGTCAGTCAGCAATGTATCAAGTAACAAAAAGATGTAAGAGAACGAGATGGTTCGGTATACTTACATATACTGATGCCAAAACCAGCAGCGTAAAAGAACTGGTAACCCTGGCTGAGTGATAAACCGGAGAAAACGGTCAAAAGTCCTCCAGCACTGATGAATATATTGTTGACGACTAAAGCGTTAACTCCTGGCAAGCTACTAGCCAAGCCACACACCACACGGCCAATAGTATTGCCGATACCGATCACAGAGACGAAGAACATGGCTGTAGATGGATCTATGCCTGCCAATTGGGCTCGATCTATGAAACAGAAACAACCAGGGCCGTTTTATTTATCTGGGTTTTGCATTTGGAACTTTGTCAATGTTGAAATTGGGACATTTCGATAGATATATAAATCTTGGGATTTTTTAATGTTTTTTTTTCTTTGGATGCGGTGTAGAGTGTATAAGAAATTTGAAGAAAGAGGTTAGAATTTGATAAAGCTTGATACGGTACCTGGGACGTACATAAAAGGTGTATAGAAGCCCATCATAGTGAGTCCACCAGAGATAGCCAGGATCAAGAAAGAGGGACTTTTCAGAAGACTTAGGTCAAGCATCGTCGTGAGGATTCGACGAACGCTCTCGGGACACAGGTAACAACTTCCGCTCTCCTCTTCGGCCACATCCGTTGCGGTGGGCAGACGCGTGACCGACATGTGATAGCCCACGGATGATTGCTGCAAATCGCGATTATTCGATTTTTGGAAGTGTCGGAGTACGTGGGAAAATTGGAAAATTTTTATTTGAATATTTGAGAGTTCATTTTAATACTGGATTATTCGGAAATTTGAAAATTGCAATATTTGAATCTTCGAAAATTTTAATTTCAATATTTGGATATTAGCAAATTTGAATCTTCGAAAATTTCAATTTCAATATTGAATATTTAAAAATTTGAAAATTTCAATACTTCAATCTCGGAAAATTTCAATTTCAATATTGAATATTCGCAAATTTGAAAATTTCAATATTTCAATCTTCGAAAATTTCAATTTCAATATTGAATATTCGCAAATTTTAAAAGTTCCATATTTGAATCTTCGAAAGTTTAAATTTCAATATTTCAATCTTGGAAAGTTTAAATTTCAATATTTCAATCTTCGAAAGTTTCAATTTCAATATTAAATAGCAATATTTTAATCTTTGAAAATTTAAACACTTGAATATTCCTAAATTTGCATTCAAACATTCAAAAATTTCCACTTGAAACTTAAAATGAAAAAATTGCCAAACCGATCCCACCGCGCTTTGAACAAACCCAATTTCAGTCCGTCTCGGACCAAAATCTCCCCAACTACCTACAATATTTACACGATTTCCAACTTCGCCGTTTCTTACCTGCGACTTGTAATGCGGCAGTCTATTCAACGATCCACCGTAAAAGATGTCGTCCCTGTAGAACGGTCTCTGTGGGTCCTTGTTGAATGGATTCCGCCTGTTGCCTACCTTCAGCGATTTCTGGCTACAGTCCGAGTCCGCGCGTAGTCTCCTCCCGCTGATCGTATGCCTGCGAATCTGCCAACAAATTTCCTCTACTTACTTAACCAGGACATACTGTTATTGCGGCTAAATGAATGCTTCTGGCACAGGAACTGCCATAAACGCCTCTTCAGTATCCGCAAAATACTTCAACTTTCCCAAATATCATTCTACAACCAATTGTTGATTCTCCTTTTCTGAGCTTATTCCAAAAATTTAGCAAAACACACTTCGTCCTTCAAAATTCTCTGTTATCGTTCTTAAAACGATAACTCAACCTTTGCATCCGGATAAATAATGATTTTTCAGGGAAACTGTCTCGATTCTATTTTAGCAAAGTAACAAAAATGAATAACAGAAGATCTTTTTCCATTTTTTAAGCAAGTTAGAGTAGAGTATAAGGAGTGTTTGAAAGTTACCGTGGGCACTTTGCCATTCAGCCTCTCCACATCACCACCCAGGAGGTTGTTCTCTTCTTCGACCATCTTCTCGTCCATGTTCACATCCAAGTCCGGATAGATCGGCACGGACAGTCGTTTCTCAGAGCTGCTCAACTTCCTCTCGAGTGTTCGCAACTCCACGTGCACCTTGTGAAGTGAGTGCAAGGACTTGGAGGCGCTGCAACGTAGAAGTTTGTAAAATCAACCCCCCGCTTCTCTTCGTTTCGCTTCACAGCTTAACGGTACTTGTATCTTTACGAGCCTCGCGACTCCTTTTTACCCTCGAGAGTTTGTTAAACTACTCTCTTTAAATCCACCCTGCAGAAGACACCTTTTGCCTATGCGTGGAAACTCCGATGGTTTTCACGCTGCTTAAACGGTCCTTTCAACGAAACAATCTATCACCTCCAATTCTCAAATTTACCTATTTCATTTTAAATTGAAAAATTAACCAATGTAACTTTAAATTTAAGAAATTTACTTATCTAATTTAAAATTTAAAACATTTACTCGTGTAATTTAAAATCTTAAAAATTTACCAATTCCAATTTCAAAAATTCGAAAAATTCGCGACCAAAGAGATCCGCCGCGAACCGAATCGTCACAAGAGACGAAGGTGGCAAATAAGCACGTGATAAACGGGGATGTAATTATTACTTTACTATGTTGGGATTGCTGCCAAGGAGTTCAGCAGCCGTCGGGTATTCCGTGTTGTTGTTTGTACCAAAGAAACCACTTCTTCCGGGTTGCACGCAGTGCAACGACGTCGTGGACACACCTTTCCCCATCAGGCTGCTCTTCACCTCTAAACCCGCATTCTCTGGCGTCGATTTCACCTTAATCCGCGTTGGTTTCAGCGGACGGAACATCGCTCCGAATATCGCACAATTCAACAGCATCCCTGTAACATTTCCGGCGACCTTCTAATCCAAAGGACTAGTCCGTCAAATTTCATTCTATCTTATACGCCGTAAAACGAAAATTTCCGATCAATCTTCGACTGGCAACGTGTGTTCGCCAAATCTCTTCCGACCCTTTTCTTACTACGCGAGATTACAAATATCGCGAAAAAGAAGCGAACGTTAAATTTCATTGAAGTTTCTCCACCGTACGATTGTTTTCTCAATTAAAAAGTTATTTATAAATGAACACGTAAACACAGAAGAAGATAGCCGTAACGAAAGGGTTAACGAAAGCCCGAGGCAAGTGTGAAATTTCATTAAAAACATTGGACAATCGTCGGTATTTGCGAATTCCAAAGTTTCCACTGTTTGTCTGTAAACGAAGCCTGGGAAAACAGTGGAACACATTTTCCACCTGGAACATCTCTGTACGACACGTGGGTCATTTGAAAATTTCAGTCAAAGACTGATTCACACACGATCGATCAAAGATTCACGTTTAATCCTTCGTTTACGTAATTGTTACCTGCTTGGAAGAGCAACGCGCCCCTCCAACCGAATTGCTTGACCAGCAAGTCTGAGATGGGCGCGAGTAAGAAAGCGCCGATTCCGGATCCGCAGACAGCGATCCCTGTGGCCAGTGCTCGCCATCTTTCAAAATAAAATCCGGTAGTTATCACAGCCGGAACGTAAATCAGACCTGCTCCGATACCTCCTGACAATGCAAGACACAAAGACCACGTGAAACTACGTGAAGACAATAGCAATCGCGCAGAGAGGGTTCTTTTCAATTGTCGCAAGTTCGAGGAAGAAGAAGAAGAAGAAAGAGAGTTTATTGGATCTTGTGTTGGAGGAATTGAGAAAACTGATTTTCTGGTGAATCGAGGATCGAAGTGACGAATTTTTTATGAAGTTACGGAGATAATAATTTTACAGTAATTTTGGGGAGATTTGTTTATTGAGAATAAGATTCAGAGGAATCTTTTCCTCTCTCTTCTTCTCATCTTCTCAATTATACGCGAAAAGAGGATCTACGAGTCCTCTTCTCAGTTTCAGCGACCAAATTATGGTCGTTTAATTATTATTTTCTACTTGGAGAATTTTCCGCGGAGAAATGGAATTTTTATTAATCTAGTGTTTGAGAAATTCGAATTTCTTCGTAATTTAAATTTTCAATTATTTACTCTCTCAGTTTTTTTCGATTTTCTGAAAATCGAAAGGTCCACTGGAATCTTTCCATCGAAAAGAGGATCTACGAATCCTCTTCTCAATTTTAGCGTCCAAATTATGGTCGTTGAATTATTATTTTCTATATTCAAAAATTTTCCAAAAAGAAATGGAAAGTTTAATTAATTCAGTGTTTGAAAAATTCGAATTTCTTCGTAATTCAAATCTCAAATTATTTATTTTTCCGGTTTTTTCAATTTTCTGAAAATGGAAAAATCCAGTGGAATCTTCTCACCTTTTCATTTATCCACCAAAACAGGGTCGACGAATTCTCTTCTCAATTTTCACGTCCAAATCACTCGAACTTAATTATCATTTTCCACTCGAATAATTTCAGTTAACTTAATCTTCAAAAAATTTCCAAATTCCCCAGAGTTCAAACGTTAATAGTGCAAACGAGATTCGCGTATACTTTTTTCGGCGAGAATTCGATCGAACGAAAACCAGGCGGGGGTGGGGGGGATGAAAAAGGTGTCGTTGACGCGCCTCGAAAAGGGGCGACGTTCTTTTCCGCAGCGAAAATGGAACGACAGAGGAAACTTTTCCGTCGTGGGTAGCGGAAACATAGCTACGGAAGTGTATACAGGGTGGGATATTTCGGAAATGTGTAACGAAAATGTTTGCGTAACATCAGCGAAAATGTTTCTCGCTTTAGGGACAAAGATGCACGGAGGAAAGTATGCAAATGGTCTTGAAGCTTTTCTCCGCGGAATCGTGGAAATTTTGCCCTTTAACAATATTCCCAAGTTCCGAAGGAGCCGCAGGAATACTCAAGTAGCCCTCTCGCCGCGCCTCACCCTGTATACAGGGCAAGAAACTTACCGAGCACGCCGTAAGAGATGTAGAGGAACTCGATGGAAGTGCTGAAGTAGGAGAGAACGAACGCTCCGCAACTTATCACGCTCCCGAGGATCGCGACCAACCGGAAGCCGTACCTGTTGGCCAACGCAGACACGAATGGACCTAGGAACAGGACGGTACAATTTTTTTCGTAAACTTTTCGAGACACGGGACAAAGAAATTTTAAGTAAAAGAAGCATTTCAAATTCTTTAACGTTTTTGTCTGTAATAATGAATCACACTTGTGGTGTAAATTTTTGTATAAAGTTCAGGAGACAGAGAAACAAAGAAATTTTCAATTCTTGCACACTTTTTTTAAAGTAACGAATCACACTTGTGGTGTGGTTATTTTAATAAATTCCTAGAGACACAGAAACAAAGAAATTTCACATTCTTTAACCCTTTTTTTTATAATAACGAGTCGCACTTATAGTGTAAATTTTTGATAAATTTCAGGAGACAGAGAAATTTTTGATTCTTTTTACTTTAATTCTTTTTTTACAAAAGTGAGTTCAGGTTGTAATAAATTCTTAGGTCCTAGAAAGAGGACAATCACAGGAGACACAGAAACAGAGAAATTTCAAATTTAACCCTTTTTCTTAAAACAACGAATCACACTCGTGGTGCAGCTTGCGATTAAAATATTGCAAAACTGAGTGCTATTTTGGATAAATCTTCATTTCAACTCCAACTTTAACTTCAGTTTACAATTTCTCGATCTTTCTCGTCAACCGCATTATTAACCCCTAACCTTGTAATAACGACTCAGACTCACGATACAGATTCCGGCGAACAGGAATAGTTATATCAGCAATAAAGATTAATATAATTCTAAATTTAGTTCTAATTCAGAAAACCGAGAATTATAAAATTGTCGCGTTCTTGCTTCGCACAGTGCTCAAATAATAAATAGCGTATTGAGTAAAAATAACAGAAGTCAAGGGGTTAAATCGATAAGATTACCATTAAGATAGTCGTTAAAGAATCGTAATGCAAGGGGTTGCCACTAAAAAGTGCCAGAAATGTAGAATTATTGAAAAAATTTGAAATTACTGTACATTAAAAAGGAAAATGGAAGGGTTATCCTGGAAGTATGATAGATCAGAAGATTCACGTTTACTTGGATCACTGACCAGCCATAAGGTAGAATCCTGACTGCAACGAGCCAACCAGCGCGACCCTCGCCTTGGACACAGCGAACGCCTCAGAGATATCGTTTAAAAAGACACCAAAGCTGAAGATGATACCATCCACGAAGAGATTACACATGAAGGATGCAGCGACGATCACCCAACCCCATCCTCCATCTGGTGGCACGACCATCTCCACCTCGATGCTCTGTCAACAGTAACAAAAAGACAAGTTCCAGTGGGAGGCTTGGCAAGAAAACGGACAATTTCGCCGTGAAACCTTCTCTTCGATTACCATACTAATTGGGCAATAACTTCGTCTGACGGGGCTCTTGGAATTTCGTCTATTTCTTTGTCTTACAAGCTGTATGTATTCGCGTGGCGATGCAATCGTTGGAATTTTCATGTTTTAACATAAATTAAAATCGAATGGAGTTACGATGCGCGTTATGAAAGTCACTATGGCGCGGCGCCTATAGTTTGAAATTTATCTCCATTCTCAATGTTTGGTGAAAATTATGTTTCTTGCTCTTAATTTTTTTGGAGAAAATAGTATTTTTCACTCTCAATCCTTTGGAAGAAAATAATATTTTTCACTCTTGGTTTTTTGGAATAAAATAATATTTTTCACTCTCAATCTTTTGGAGAAAATCATATTTCTCACTCTCAATTTCTGGAAAGAAATAATGTCTTTCATTCTTAATTTTAGGAGAAGAATAGTGTTTTCCACTTTTAATTTTTCGAAGGAAGTAACATTTTTCGAAAATTTATGTTTCCTAAATATTCACGATAACACAAAAGCTCATATTTTCTATTCAGGGTTGGACAATTTCACTACCATAGCAGAACCTGTTTTCCTCATTAACATCTATTAAACTACATTTCCCCAAAGTCTCAATTTTCTTTAAATTGCCAGGTTGCTAAACTAAAACCTTCCTAATCACTGTAACGTCAGCTGATTAATTACAGTACTACAACATTTCCAGCGATTCTACTCCACTCTGTACAAGCCTATACCCAAATTCATCAAAGATCAAGCGAACGTGGAAGAACTGGAAGAAGAGGCTCGACGTTAAACCAAAGGATATCTCGTTAAATGGTAAAATTAGCAACGGGAGGTTTTGTAGGTCGAACGAAAGGAAAAATTCCACGGGTTGGTGAAGAGCGATGGACAGAACGAGAGGGAGTTTCAACATCGTCTCGCCCGTGGAAATTCACAAGGTGCTCGAGATCAAGGCTAAGAACGGCGACTTTCGCGTTTCGCTGGACCGAGCGTGACCCAAAACTCTGTCGAGTTATCAGGCTGGCGGGTGCCATGTGACGCTGATACCGATTCACCGTGACGTATGGATCGCGGTATGAATTACTACGCCGAGTATTTTTAGTCCCGTGCAACGATATCGGCACTCTGCTAATCTCTTCTCTTACGGATTCCGCCAGTCGACTCCTCGTTTCGCAACTTTCGCCAGCTTTCGTTCCTTCGATCGCCAATTTTCTTCCGATTTACGTTCCTTCGATGACAATTTTCTTCCGATTTGCGTTCCTTCGATCGCCAATTTTCTTCAAATATACATTCCCTCGATGACAATTTTCTTCAAATGTACATTCCCTTGATGACAATTTTCTTCAAATGTACATTCCCTCGATGACAATTTTCTTCAAATTTACATTCTCTCGATGACAATTTTCTTCCGATTTGTGTTCCTTCGATGACAATTTTCTTCAAATTTACATTCCCTCGATGACAATTTTCTTCAAATGTACATTCCCTTGATGACAATTTTCTTCAAATTTACATTCCTTCGATGACAATTTTCTTCCGATTTGTGTTCCTTCGATGACAATTTTCTTCAAATTTACATTCCCTCGATGACAATTTTCTTTAAATTTACATTCCTTCGATGACAATTTTCTTCAAATTTACATTCCCTCGATGACAATTTTCTTCCCATTTGCGTTCCTTCGATTACCAATTTTCTTCAAATTTACCTTCCCTCGATGATAATTTTCTTCAAATTTACATTCCCTCGATGACAATTTTCTTCCCATTTGCGTTCCTTCGATTACAATTTTCTTCCGATTTACATTCCTTCGATGACAATTTTCTTCCGATTTGCGTTCCTTCGATTACCAATTTTCTTCAAATTTACATTTCTCCGATCGCCAATTTTCTTCAAATTCACATTCCCTCGATGACAATTTTCTTCAAATTTACATTCCTTTGATGACAATTTTCTTCCGATTTACATTCCTTCGATGACAATTTTCTTCCGATTTGCGTTCCTTCGATTACCAATTTTCTTCAAATTTACATTCCCTCGATGACAATTTTCTTCCGATTTGCGTTCCTTCGATCGCCAATTTTCTTCAAATTTACATTCCTTCGATCACCAATTTTCTTCCGACTTCCATTCACGTGTGAAACTTGTGTATTGTGAAATGTTGGATTTCTAATCATTAGCAAGTTGATTAGAGCGATTACTCGAGTCGTTGAAATGTTTGGAAGTTTTTCTTCGTTATCTCGAAGTTTGCAGAATTTTTGGCAAATTGGGTAATCTAGGAGTGACGTTTGTGTGAATTTATCAGTTTGCACTAAAACGGCTATAGTGACTTTATTAGTATGCACTATAATTGCACTTTTTTTTAGCAAAGTAACGAAAGGAATAGAAATAAATAAATTAGCAAATTTTCCTTTGTTTTCGAAAGTTTCGCCGCAGAGGTGCGCTACGGTTACTCATAGTGAAAGGGTTAACGATTTTCATTCTTCCCTGAAAAATCCGGCGTTTCACTATTACACCATCGAAAATTTCGCAAATTTTCTGACTAATATATTCAGCAGACTCTAAAACTGCATATCTTCGATTGCGTAGTTCCTTTGGCATTTAAACGAACAGTACAATATCTCCGAAAGAATTCAGGCCACTTTTCTTACACGAATTTAAACTAGGCCATTGTCACCTGAATCATGTCGAAATGTGCAAAGAATTCCTCCAAATAAAGACACTCACCTCCATAAAAATGAGCCATTAATACTACCTGTATATTTACAATTACTTTTCAAAATACACCTTTATTATTTCAACCTACTATCATCCTAACATCAAATTTAAACATCAAAATTTAACGTAAAATCTCAACCCAACAAACCATTCCCGACAAACCATCACAGAAAAAGATCGTCGGCAGAGAATTGAAAAAATTCCATGACCAGCCACAAAACCGAGGAATAACGTGAAGTTATTATAATCGCCTCTAATCTCGAGGAATATTAATTGCTCGTAAAGGAACTCCGTCACAGAGCAGCATGGATCCCGCCCATTTTCCATTTGCATGATCCACACACGATCGTCGACGTAGTAAGAGAGAGAGAGTGAAACCACAGCCTCTTACCTCGTTGTTGTTGTCCTGTATGTCCTCCAGCTGCAGCTCGTCGTTCCTGCAACCGCCTCCATTCTGCTGCGGTGCCTTGGTGACTTGCTCATCCACTTTATTCCCCAGCGACGCCATCGTCGTCCACGGTTGACTGAAACAAGAACAACACCGGCCGGTTGCAACAACTGTACGGATCAGTTTGAGAAAACAATCAGTGTGCGGAATTAACGGCGAGTTAAGCAGCGAAGCCCTCTGAAGGCATCGAAAAGCGTACACGATTTCTGTGTATTACTCTATCGACGAGCGATTTAATTAGGTATTTGTGCACAATCCGTGCCCCGACGACACGTCATACCCGTCGTGACTGCATGTCGGTGTGCAACGTAAATACAGCGTGTATTATCATACCTATAAATTATCCACGTGCTCGCGTAGCTTATGAGAGGCGGGAAAGAAAAAGAAAAAGATAGATCGAATTGACACGGCTTTCGTTTCCTTCCGCGTCCTTTCTTCTCGTCCTTGATGTGTTTCTTTTTTTTTTCTTGGTGATAGAAAAGGATTCGCGATTAGACGAGAGTGAAAGATGTTGGAAGGAGCGATAGAGATCGACACACGCGAAGGATTTTGTTTGTTGATTTTTCAGTTGGAAGTTTTCAGAGAGACACACTCTGTGATACCGTTTCACTCACGAACTGGAATCTTCACTTGGAGGCGTGCTACTGTGGAGCGGACAGTATGATTCATAGATATTATAGCCAGTTTTATGTGGCATAGAGTGTCGTAAACGGGAGTCAACAGTGGTTGATATCAGGAAGAAAGTGACGTCTCGATAAACGTCGGACCAGTGGCCAGAATCTCGGCTATCGTTTGAGAAAACAACGCTTGCGGTAATCGCTTCTCGAGTGATTGCTCGTGGAATACTGTGTGCGGCAATTTTGGTAACTGATTCACGACGATGTGATTAAAATATGGCTGTAAGGTAGGTCGAGAAACTTGCTTCGGAGAAGTTTATCGATGAATAAGAAGTGTACTGCTTAATGATTCTGTAGTTTTCATCTAGAAGTCGATGCTAGAGTAAACGTTCGACGAAAAGTTCGAAGGTTCACTTCAGCAAGTGTTGGACGAAAGA